AAGGATTTCCAGTTATTTCTTGAGGTATTATTAAACTTTGCGCCTGAAAAACATCGCTCAGATTGACTTGTCATTTAAAATCGAAGTTATGTGCGCGCGCGCATCAGTATTTTCAACAATTTCAACTTTTTTAAAAGTCAAGAAACCGTAAATGTCCTTCGTTTAGACTTCTCAGGAATTCAACTATCCATTTGCATCAAAATTTCCCTCCAAAACTTCGGAAAAACGGAAAAAACGTCGACATTTCTTAGGCGACCTACAGCAACCGCACACTAACGGCTGATAGTGTTCAATGGCTCAGCCAATCAGATTAGAGCATTTGCATTAGTATACTAGTAGAATTCTACTAAATGCATATAGTTATATAATCTCTATCATTACGTTTTCTATAGTTTCTTTTTTCGTCTTACCTTTCTTTTGTAACTGAATAATGTGAATAAAGATTGTTGTTGTTGTCTTGTTTTCATCTCTAATAGTAGTAACCGGATAGAGACAAAACAAACATTTTTAAGTACTCCAGCCTTTATTTATCCACTTCTTACAATTTCTTTCTAACAGGTGCTTGCAAGAAATTCCTGCCTAAAGAGTCACCAAATTTACCCAATTACTTCCGCGCATATTTTGTCGGCTAACCATTTCATTGTTCCTAAGTTGACCGTCATTTCATTCATGGAGATAGACATCATTGCCATCAGTCTTCCTCCCTGAAATAGAAAAAAGAAAATGATTGAGTATTAACTAGGGTTATTTACCATTAGAATGTAAACTTTGCTACCGAGAGGCAAATGAAAAAGTGACGCAACACTTGCAGGCGGACCTGAGTCAGGCCCAGGCCACATTGGTGGGAGGCGAGTGCTCTCACCACTACACCATCCCTGCTTCCCTGAAAATGACCCAAAGGGTTTAAAAAAATTACTTCGTGGTAGCAAGAGGTTCGAGCTTTTGGGGCTTCGAGGTACCGATAGTAAAATTACAATAAATTAAGACGCAAATCCACTTAAAATAAAGTTGGATCGAGTAAGCACAAGTTTCGTGTAACGGGGGCTCGAGTTATTAAGGGAGTCCAATGTATTTTGTAAATCTATAACACCTGTTCGGACAGCAGCACTTCATAGTGGAGTCTTGACAGAGCTTCGCACACTCATCGTAAGGGCAAGAGCCAGAATCTGGCACACATGTGCCACCGATAGAAGAACAATAGTCTGTAAACAAGAAAAGATTACCCTCTTGTGAGCAATAACAGAGGGTCTAGACGAGGGTGCTAGAATCTAAGTTATTAGCTAAATTTTCATCGATATTTTAGCCGCGGCTACCGGAGTCAAGCTAAAAGATTTCAGCCGATTTCTCACTTAGCTATCAATAAATGTCGCAGATCTCGCATCTCAGCCATCCACATGACTTAGCTGGTTTCTTTATAGTTGTATCGCTACGATCGCTAGAGACAAATTTTAAGCGATCTAAGACTACCAGTCTCCATGATTGATACAGAAAATATTAATGCCCGAGACGGTCTGGTCCTAACACAACCTCATTCCCATGGCTTTAAGGGAAGAGAGCATGGGAACGAGGTTGGTTCTAGCAAAGACGGACTGCATTTCGGAATATTTATCATTGTAAAAATCGCTATAATTCTTGGAGAGAGGTCTACATGTAATCGCAGCAATTGTTACGATTAAGGAGATAGATAGAACTGAAGGCTATTTCAGCAATCGTTGCCGCAAAGTCCGATAGTGTTGTTTCCATACGCTGGGGCTTTGGCCTTTACGGCTAACGGTTGATTTATTTTCCTTACGGTTAACAGTAATTAGCTTTCAAGCCACAAGAGATCTTGAGACTTTCACTTTCGTGGCTAAAACTGTTTCACGGTTAACGTTTTTTCAAGCCTAACGGATAATTTCCAATTTTGACGCCTGAAAGCTAAATTTTGTCACGTTTTACTGCTGATAGCTAACCCAACTGCGACCCTCAACTATCGTTGACTGACTTTTTTCGGCTATCACAGCGATCATGCGCAGTGAGCAGTTCTCAGTTATCAGTTAAACCACTTCCATGACCTTGATGTCCACAAAAAAAGAACATTGCGACAACTTGCTACTTACATCCGGGTGGCGGTTTCTGACGCAAGAAATAAGCCCGCACGCGCACGGAGTTCTTGTTTAGCTTCCCCGGGCGTGCACCCTGCACGATAATGGTCCCCAAAATAATCAGTAACAGAGAAAAATGAAACTTGGCTGCCATGAGCTTCCTACAACGGAAAAACAATTCGTATTATATTCTTAACAAATCTCAGAATTAAAAGCTCACTAAGCTTTGTGCAAACAGTCGTAAAGTCACAGTGTATTCTTTGGGGGGATTGAGCGTATAAATCCAGTTGAGTATTTCACTTTTCTCACCCACGTTACATAGCTTTTCTCTTTTCTATTTCTCAATCAAATGTAAACCGCGAAACGGCGAGAATGAGCCACTACTTCTTCTAGGTGGCACTGAGAAAAAAAAGGAAAACTTCTAGGACCAGGCTACATTTTTAAAAGCTCATTTCAGTCGTTTAAAGGTTAACGTTCGATTTGAGTCTGATAACATTTTTATAGCTGGCAAAGTGAAATAAAGATTCAGCTTGCGAGCTATATTCCCGGCGTGGTCAATCGAACATTCGGAAACTGAACTGAGTCGAACCCAATCGAACCCAATCGAACCCAATCGAACCCAATCGAACCCAATCAAACCCAATCGAACCCAATCGAACCCAATC